TGTATCATACTTAGGGCATCTGTATTTAGACCTCGTATAAATACTCGGGGGACTCAAATGTAATTATGTAATAAATGGAGGGACAAATATGTAAAAAGATGAGGAGCCTTTATTTTATAAAAGGGCCTCTTCACCCTCACAAACGACAAGTCCTCTCACCCTCTTAAAGCCTATGATATTCAAAGCAAAGCTCTCAAGCTCTCTCTCCCTCTCATCCTCTCACAAACAGAGAAATACAATATCAGTGTGGACATAGCCCAAACCTTGGGGTGAACCACGATACATCTTGTGTTATTTACTTTCTTGCAGATTCACGGTCGGATTTATGTTGTTCCAAGACCCCTCCGATTTTGTGCATCAACATTTGGCGCCGTCTGTGAGAATCGACACGAAAAGCTATGTCAGTTCTCTTTCATTTTTTTCATCAACAAGGTTCAAAATTTTCACTATCTTCATCATCTCTATGTGTAGAGTAAGTGTATTGTGAAGAGTAGTCATCAAATGATAAATCTCTAAAATAGTTTTGCATGTAGTTGTTAACATGCCACCCATATAGATCCGAGATTGGTTGACGTTGTCCATAAGCAAAATCATTTGAAGATTGAGTCTCGGATTCTTTCCATGAGTCGTTCAATTCCATCCCAACAGGAATGGGATATGAAGGGTAGGGAAATGGTTGGTTATGAGTATAACCATAGTTACTACTTCTCATTATGAGTATAACCATAGTTACTACTTCTCACTCCAACAGAGTCCGAAGTTATAGATAACGAGTCATTTTCTTGACTTGACAAAGTCCCCTTACCTCTTTCTCTACGAGTATAGTCATTCCCTATGGCACCAATTCTTGGTCCTGCCCGCCTACTGCCATGGTCCTCATCCTGTATTACATGCGTGAAGTTTACCTTACCAGTGAAGGGGCTCATAAATCCGGAATGTGGTCCAACATAGTTTCTATATCCACCACTACCTCTAGCTCCACTATATCCTTCATCATTCCCACCTCCGGTGGTAGGTGAGTCTCCTGATCTTGTACTAGAGCTATCATTATGATCAGCAGGATCTTGTGGTTGTGTAGGATTGGAAGAAAGTGGAATTTCAGTGTTTCTTGGTCTTGGGCACAAAAGTTCTTCGAAAGAGTTAGCGCTGCTAGATCCCACCTCCTCCTCTAATACTCTTTCTACATTTATCCCTTCATTACGTGCTTATTCAGCAACTCTTAGAGCTGGGTTACCTTCATCATCATCTAAATGAAGAGGTCTAATCCATTGATAAAGTTGGTTACCCTCTGTATCATCATCTTCAACAACAATATCAAACACATATAGTGTGTCACCACGGTCGACATGATCTATTTCTGCTTCCTTATCTCGAATTTGAAGCTTCATGTTGTAGTAGCAATAAACTAATTTTCCAACCTACTATGAGCCAACCTATTTCTTTGCTTTGTGTGTATGAGTGTAAATGTACTCCAATTTCTTTCACAAGCAGATGGGGAAGCTATTTGTGATAATACTTTGATTGCTAACTTTTTTCACAGTTGGTGCATCAGTCTCATACATGATCCACTATTCAGTTATAATGAAAAACAATGTTGATAAGCCTAATAACTCCAACAAATTCTATTATAAACTGATAGTGAAATATGTTTACACTCACTAGGAGACATTTTTGTTCGAGCAGCAACTAATGTTGGTTCTCCAAAAGTTCTTCTTGCATCTTTAAACCATGTTAGTTGAATTCAATAAATCGTGTTAGTTTAATCCAACAATGTAATTATTATAATTTAAGTAATTGTGTACCTCATTTTCAAATTAGCCAACTGCTGGTGATGCAGGTTCTAATTTAGAGTATACATTATGTACAGCACGTATAAAGGTACCATCATCTCCAACACCGGGTCTGTATTGGTATCGAGGATTAAAATAATATGCTATTCAAAGAAACACATACTCTAATAAGAGAAATAATACTTATGCAACTAAAGAAATGAATTGCAAATTATGACATAATTTATACCTGCTGCATGCAAATCGTGGTATGATGTTTTATACCATCGGTCATCAATTATCTTTATGACTCACCTTGCACCATGTTTTCTTTCCAAGTCCTCCTTCACTACATGCATCAACTTATATATTGCCCTCATAGTAGGATACACTTTTGTGTCAACAATCCGTAAAACTTTGTAAAGAGGTTCAAACAGTTGGCACACATGTTCTGATTGAGTCCAAAAAGCATGATCAAGCACTATACTTTTCACCATACGACCTGCATTTGAGCGGCTAAAGTTGTGGTTAGCCCAATCGTCACTAGTGAATAGTTGCTTCAACCCTGCTTTCTTCTTAATTAGGTTGTCTAATGCAATATAGTTGGTGGCGAATCGAGTGGTAGCTGGACGAATAATTTCTCTTTTGCAAAATTCATGCATCTTTGCCAACAATCAACCGTGATTGTAAATATAATTTGTGATCGTTCTAGCTCTTTTTACGACATTAGCAATATTCTCTCTCTTCCCCATTGCCTCAAACATGAGATCAATACAATGTGCTGCACATGATGTCCAAAACACATTATGATGCTTCATTAACTTTTTCTAGCTTTGACAAATGCAGAACCGTTGTCGGTCACGACTTGGACAACATTATGCTCTCCCACCTCCATGATTACATCTCTCAATAATTTGTAAATATACTTGTAGTTCTTTATATGGTCTGAAGCATCAATAGACTTCAAAAAAATTGTCTTTCCCTTGGAGTATACCATGAAGTTTATGATAGACAATCTGGTCGGGCCAGTCCATCCGTCACACATGATTGTGCAACCATTAGTTTCCCACTTTGACCTCAACTTGTTAACATACTCGCCAATGTCTTTATACTCCATTTCCAAATATTTATTTCTTACCTCATAGGGAGTGGGAGGTTGTACTCCCAACATCGGCCTGTTGACATCCCAATACCATATTTTTGAAATGATGTGATGATGCATTCTCAGTAGAGACATTTTCATAGATAAAGAACTTGCTAATTAGACGCCCCATTCCCTCCTTCACATTACCCTCAGTGAAATAACTCCAAACACTCTTTTGACGTGCTTTGGATGATTTATATAAACTTGGGGCTATTGGTGGTGTTGGTTGTGATCTCTATCACTTGCTCCCCGTCTCATTTGTGCACCACCACTTGTCCCGGAACCTTGTGCTCTATTAGGAATTTTATGAAGGTGTTATCTTTCCCATGCTGACTGTTTGAAGGCACGTAATGCTTGTTTGAAATTGCGTCGTTCTTCAGGTCCTATGTCATCATCACATTCGTCCTCATCGTCATCATCATCACTGTCAACCGCTTGACCAATGACTTCTCCTCGTAGCCCAACTTGAATATTTTCCATTCCATGTGTTTTCTTTTCCTTCTGGTGTTTTTTATTTTTTTAATAATGTGGTGATGAATGCCTTCACTTCTGGGGGGACATTATCACATCGTTGGACATTATTTCCTGAATCTAATCCACTAAGATGATACTTAAATCGTGTCACTCCGCCACTCATCATTACCCGACCACAATATTTGCAAATTGTGCCATGTTTGTTTCCATCTATTGGGTCTCCATGTTCCCAAGCTGGATCACGTTTAGTAACTCCACAAAAACATCTTAAACGTACCTATATTTATTTTTCATGGAAATTAGGCAATTATTTTTTGGCCAAAAAATATAGTAGTGATCACGGTTATATAAGAGAACCTAAATAATAAAATTATTCTACAGAAGAATTAAATACGAAGTTAAGAAAATGATTGTAAGAATTTAAGTAATTTAAAAAATAATATGGAATAATAAAACCTAATATTAATGAATAATAATCCAATTTGATAATAAAATAATAACATATTAATGAATAATAATGCAATTTGATAATAATCCAATTTAATGAATAATAATCCAATTTGATAATAAAAAAACCTAATATTAATGAATAATAATCCAATTTGATAATAAAAAAAACCTAATATTAATGAATAATAATCCAATTTGATAATAAAACCTAATATTAATAAAATAATAAATAACATTAAACATATTAAAATTATCCTGGGGAATAATTATACAACATTACTTAATTACTTCAAAAAATTAACATGCAAGTATTATTTGGTTCTTAGATCACATGTACGGGTTCACACAACTTTTTTTGTTGTTGTATAAATTACAATAATTTAAATATAAGTTTGTAAACTTACCTTAAATATGGAACCTTTTGTGTTGAAGCTCTGAAAGGGCTCTGGAAAGGCTCTGAAAGGGCTAAGGGAAGAAGAAGAAATGAAAAGGTGTAATAGAGGTGTGATGATTTGATACTCCGAATGTGAAAGAGTTAGAAGTGGCATACGATTTTGAGTATGAAACCAACCACCACTACTTTTTGTCTTGTCAAAAGTTGGCCCGTTTGGGGGATTTATATTATATTATGTAACTTATCATAACACACACACTGACACACACACACACACCGACACACACACACTGAATTATTATGTTTATTTTATCGATATTATTCCGATATTACCGATATTATCCCAATATTACCGATATTATCGATATTATCCCGATATATTGACAAAAATAAGGTAGATACGTGTGAAAATATCCCCCTCTTAAAAAAACGATATTATCGGCGAAATATCGCCGATAATATCGATATTTAAGACCTTGGTTGCGAACACAATTCATAAAATTCGATCCTAAAGTCACGCACTTTTTTTTTTTTAACAAACGATATTAGGATGGGGAGTGGGTTAAGCCTTACAATTTGCTAGCAATAATGTAGTTTAAATTCGTAGTTGGTGAGAATCGAACCTAAAATCTCTCAGTTACAAATAAAAAGAAATACTATTAAACCGTAATAATAAGTGACAAAAAATAATCCTAAAATCACGCACTTACGGGTCATGATAAATATTATTAGAACACGTACATATGAATGCGTAGAGTGAATTAGCAGTCACCCAAATTTCCCTCCACTTTACCACCGTAAAAACACATTGAAAACTCCTCCCTTCCTGTTTCTACGTTTGCAGAATGGAAGTGGGAAGGTTACCAATCTCAGCATCACAGAGAGTAAACTGATATCAGCAGGTTACACCACTCTCGTTGCCCTCTCTTCTCTCTCCCCCTCCGACCTTGCTAGAGGTAATCCTCTCTCCGCCGTCAAATTTCTCTTAACTTTTTCAGTTGTGTTCTGCGTCAAATCAACAGCTTATGGGCGTGCCCGCCAACTGTTCGACGTAAATACTCTTTGAGCTCTGACCGCAATACTGCGTCATACTTTTGAGAGATTTTTCCAAGTACTGGATATTCAAGCGATACTATGTCATAATACAAGTGGAGAAATTATATATTTTTAGGTATACCAGAGAGACTAAATTTATAGGCAATATTTGTAAACTAAATGATATGAAATTTGATGATTGCATTATTACTTAAACATTGATAAGCGTGCTCATTTTTATTGGTGACACATAATTTAGTTTGTAAATTGTTTAAAAATTTAATTTCTCTAGTAATACCCTATATTTTTATTTGTCCTGTCACTTATTTCATGACACGTGTAGCACCCAATGAAATAATGAGCACTTTGAAAAATTTCTCCATACTTCCGAGTTTCCATATAAATTTGAAACGGGTATTCATTTTTGTTATATGAAATGGATTAGTTGTGGTGGTTCAAAGGTTCTAATGAAACAGTGCAGAGGATTTTTAAATACTACAAATGGTAATTAACATTTTGAAAAACAACCTAAAGTTTTCTTTGCATTATGGGTTGAATTGGTTGTAGATGTTCTGCAGTAACAGAGTAGTGTAATTTGCAGATTTTTCTCTATGATGCGTTATAGAACTTTTTTTACAATGGATTTTGGTCCCTTTTTGGTATTTTGGTTAAGTTTTCAGATGTGATGGTTAAAGTTTTCCAGCATTCCTTGTTGGACAGAACTGAAAATTCCAGAGAGTGAAGCTCTTGAAATCCTGAAGGTTGCCTCACTCGATCGTGGGTTGGACCAACCAGATAAAAACAATGCTATTGTCAACGGTAATGATCTCTTTTATCTATATACGCGTGTTAAATGTTCTCGTTCCAGATTGTTAAGCAGGAACATACATTTAAACAAAGATTTGTCTAATCCATCATCCAAATTTACAATTTGACGATATAACATCTCACTACCCTATACTATCTTATCCTTAAATGAATTTGTATTCTTTGTGTTCCACAGTTATACGGAATGTCATTATCCTTCTAGTGTCCTTATTTATGGCCTTGTGGCTTCACTAGGAAGTTCACACGAGCCAAATACAATGACTTAACTGGCATCAATTAAGCTCACAGGAGCCAAGTAATGCTTTGACCCCCATTTGTCCATGATTTTTCATCAAATTTAGGGCAATAATGTGGTTCTTCCTGTATGATTTCCATGCCGTGCAGTATATGATACAGCACAGAATATGTGCACTTGTTATATCCATGTCAGTTAAATGTTCTTTTGTCACCTATGGTCGATAGCTGTTATAACCTCAAAATAGGTGTGGCTTCTACTTCCATACAGTAACCCTCAGTTAAGATAAGTCTGGCTATTACTGGTTTCCGTTTTGCATACCATCATTGAGTCGTATAATACTTTGATCACTTGTCATTTTTCCTCCATTTTGGTATATTTTTTTGAACTGAAGTTACCTCTTCGTTGGTTGTCTTGCATTACCATTGATCACAAGTGCAGCAATAATTACAGTGCTTTTTGTCTTTGTGTAACTATTTTGTGGTATTGGATTTTGTCTGTGTTTGTTTCTGCAACTTCAGTCATTATATTTACATTACAACTTTTTTGTTTTTATCGTAATGGAACAATTACTTGAACATATATCTTATGCCACCATTTTTGTATATTTTGAAAACTGAAGTCACAAACCAACTTTGTTCTGTCCCTTTTAGGTGAACAAAATGCTTGGGAAATGCTCCATGAAGAGCTGTCATTTCCACACATCACTACATCTTCTGATGATCTAGATAACATCCTCGGTGGGGGAATTAATTACAAAGAAGTTACTGAAGTTGGTTTGTTATTTTCTTACCCTATTTGGTGTAATGTGTATGATATGGCCATCCATTTGTACACTTTTGTCTACATTCCATATCTATGAGCACCAAACTGGAGCAAACTTTCATTTGGCCAGGAAATGATTTTTATTGTATTTTCGGTTTTTGTTTGAAATAAATAGGTGGGCTACCTGGGAATCGGTAAAACACAGATGGGGTACATGGTTTCTCCACTCTGATTTTTTATTTCTGTTCATTTCATTAGTTTTCAAGGGCATTGAATGCATACTTTGCTTTGTAGGATTCAACTTGCCGTGAATGTGCAAATTCCAGTTGATTTGGGTGGCCTAGGTGGAAAGGCAGTATATGTCGGTCAGTGTCAACCTTTTGCTGTCTGTATTCTATGTTTGACCACAATTTCCAGTTGCATCTGGTGTTTAGAATATGGTGCTTATATGATACTTAGATACAGAAGGCAGCTTTATGGTGGAATGGGCTCTACAAATTGCTGAAGCTTCCGTAGTGGAAATGTCAAATTATAATGAGCTTTTGAAGAAAAATCGAGATTGCCAAGTTGAAATTCAGCCCACTGATATCTTGGACAACATATTTTATTTCCGTGTCTGCACTTATACAGAGCAAATTGCCCTGATAAATTACTTAGACAAATTCATCTTGGAGCATAAGGATGTAGGTATAGCATTACCATATTGATTTAGATTGTGCCTTGATACATCTTAGAATCATATACGCAAGGAAGTTCCTATGTTCTTATAGGATCATGTGTGTGTTTGTTCTTTTTGTTGATAAGTTAATTGGACTTCTTGGTGTATAACTTTATACCATGCTTAGTTTTATTATTATCTTTTTGACTGATGAATAGTTCACCGTAAACTGATATTGGTTGCCCATTTGTTATCATTGTATGCATTATATATACCTGTCATCCCTGGAAGTACTAAATTTCTTCCGAATGTTTTTCAGGTTAAGATTGTGATTGTTGATAGTGTTACCCTTCACTTCCGCCAAGATTTTGAGGAGGTTTGGACATGTGCAAAGAAGGCCTACTGACACTCCGGTTAGAAGATGCGACTACGGGATAGAGGTTCAGGGCCGAATGGGTAGAGGAAGACCTAGGAAAACTTTGGAAGAGACTCTAAGAAAAGACTTAAAGTACTTGGATCTAACAGAGGACATGACACAGGACCGAGCACAATGGCGTTCTAAGATTCATATAGCCAACCCTACTCAGTGACTTGGATTTTTCAAGTCTCCAACTGAGAAGTTTTCCTCACTCGAGAAATTAAGGGAACACTACCTCAACCTACATGCTTCACTCACAAAGCTTCAACATACAAGCTTCAACAAAAGAAAAATTCAAAGAACTTAGTGAAGAAGGCTTTGGTGTATTTAACACAATACGTTGAAATGAAGCAAAGCTTATTTATTGATATCTCCGATAAGTTACAAATATGTACATATACATGAGTCAAAATAAACAAACAAGAAAGGGCCTTCACAAAGGTTGCTTAGGAGAAGTCTCAGCAGTCGGTAGAGCCCCAGAAAGAGAAGGCACCGGAGGGTGATCACTTGGAGCCTCAGTACTGGACAAAACCCTAGAAGGAAGGGGCATCGGAGGCTGATCATTTGGAGCTTCATTACGCGGTATAACCCCAGAAGACGAAGGCAATAAATGCCTTTAGAACAAACCCAAAAACCTCTGATGATCAAGTAAAATCTGGCCATCAGATTCCTTCACCTGGTCAAGCTTCCTCTTCATGTTTGTAGTATAGTCATGTGCGAGCCTGTGCAACTGTTTATTCTCATGCTTGCGCCCTCTAATCTCCTGCTTGAGACTCATCACTTCAGCTGCCAATGATTCAACTTAGCGGGTTCGAGCAAATAGGCGTTGGGCCATATTCGACACAGAACCTGCACACTGAACACTGAGAGCCAGAGAATCCTTAACAGCCAACTCATCAGACCGTTTGGAAAGTAGTCTGTTATCTTTGGGAGTGAGAAGGTTCCTGGCCACCACCGCAGCGGTCATATCATTCTTCATCACAGAATCCCCAACGGTAAGAAGACCAGTAGGGGATAAGAAGGATGGGCGCCATATGTTGTCTGGAGAAGGCGCGGCTGCCTCTTCACCAAGGTTCAAGTCAAAACGACGGTCGGAAGGGCCAGACATTTTCAAAGGTGTTGAAGAGAGAAGAGGTCGAACAAATCAAGAACTTAGAAGTGTAAGAATGGAGCTTCTACTGGTGGAGATTCAAGTGTGCTTTGGAACTTAATGCCAGCCTCTATAAAAATCTGCACTCGACGAGCTTCAGAAATCGAAAAGGCGTTTGCTTTCTCAAAAGCTGGGATGCTCAGAGACCACGAGGGCCAATTTCAGAGATCGAAGAGGCGTTTGCTTTCTCAAAAGCTGGGCTACTCAGAGACCACGAGGGCCGATCTCAGAAATCGAAGAGGCACCTGCTTTCTCAGCCTTGTCAGCACCTGTCACATGCACATTCAGCTTTGCGGAAATTACGGGCAATCTGTCGAAGATTTCTGGTGAAGTAGAAAGCACGTGAATCTTACTGTTCAATCATCCACTTTTCACACGCAACATCAAGCTCATCGGGTACCACACAGATAACTTTGCCAAAGATCTCTGACAAAGTTTAGACACGTGAAGCTTGCAGCTCCCACTACATCGCTATGACCAAGAAGGGTAAAAGAATAGCAAAGAAACAGCACTAACAAAGTTTAGACACATAAATTTTGAAGGTTTAGCTACCATATTATTACCCACAAGGGTAAAGGAACAGCACCACTGCTGGATAATTGGAAAGTCCCTGTGTGTCAACCTCTGTGCTCCGTGGCAAGGTAGACTAGCAAAAATGCCCAACCTTTACTCACATTCGAGAAAACACTCCTAACAAGATTGCTTGCTCCAAATTCGAAGAGGCACCGCCCTCCGAATCTAGAGAGCCAGACTCCCAACAGGATTACTTTCTCAAAAATCGAAGAGATACCGCTCTTTGAATTTCAAGAGCTAGACTCCCAGTAGGATTGCTTTCTCAAAAATCGAAGAGGCACCGTTCTCCTAATCTCGAGAGCCAGATCCTCGACAGGATCGCTTGTTCGAAAACCGAAGAGGCATCGCTTTCTCAACTTCGAGAGCCAGATCTCCTTGGATAAAGCTTGTCTGTAATCTTCACACATAACATCAGTTTTCCAGATACCACATACCACTTTTTCAAAGTGTTCAGACATAGTTAAAACACGTGAAGCGGGCAGCCCCCACTACAGTGCTATGACCAAGAAGGGTAAAGGAATAGCATTACTACTTGTTGTTAGGGAGACTCTTATATATGTTGACCTCCATCCTCAACGGACAGGCAGACCTGCAAAAATGCTCAACCCTTCCTTATATCTGAGAGGGCACTCCCAACGAAGCCTCTCGAAATACTCAGCTTTCTTTCCCCCGATAATACCTCTGCAAACAAGCCACACCAGAGCAAGAATATCTCATATCATCAGGGTTAAAAGCAAGAATATCTCATATCATGCTTTTTCCCTGTCTTTTCCTTTGGCCTTGTTCTTACCTGCAAGACAAGGAGAAATAGAGCAATCAGTCAGTACTTGGAATCAAGCTTCCAGTCAGGAACTGACTGCCTAGAACCCCTTACCTGATTACTTACCTGGCATTGCTCTCGAGTACTCATCTTCAACATCTTATGCTTCCAGATGAGATACCACATCTGCCTGAGGAACAGATAGGGCTAGTGAGAAGGATACAAGGAAACATGTGGAAACAAGCGTAACAGAACACGTGCCGATACTTCTACTACTTTGTCAACAGCAAAAGTATCCCATATCAGCAGGGTCGAACGTACTCTAGATTTGATGGACTTGTTTTGACCCTTAAATTCTTCAGTCCTCCTTATACTCTGGAGGTAACCAGAAAACCCTCCAGCCCAGTTCAAGAATAAGCTTGTGGAAAGTTACTTCTTCAAAAGCAAAAGTATCTCATATGATCTCTTTTCCTTTTCTTCTCTTTATCCTTCATGCTGCCTGCAAGATAAGGAGAATGAGAACAATCAACAATCAGCCGGAACTCGAAATCAAACTTCTGATCTGGGATTGATTGCTTGGAGCTCTGATTGCTTACCTTGTCTGTCACCTCTTTTAGCAGATCCCCTAGCTCGGCGACTTGGGGGACTCCTACTACATGGTTTGTATCGCGCTTGACCACGCCTGAAACTACAAGTAAGCTTCAAGTGAAATTGATACATTACCTTATGCATCTCCACCAGTTAAAGATACCACCCCTGGACAGAGGAAGAGTATTTCCAGAGAAGATGCCATATCTATCTATGAGACAGATAAGGCAAGTGAAGACGGTACCACACTTCGGTACTTAGAAGTTTCGTGATTACTCAGTGGCTTGGATCTTGCAAGTCCCCAACCGATGAGCTTTCCCTCCAACCAGGAGGCCAATCACAGAGCGACACGTGTCGACATTAGAAGCCAATCATAGCGCGACATGTGTCAACATCGGAAGCCAATCACAACACGACACGTGTCAATGTCAGAACAAGGCTAGAAACTCTCTTCTATAAAAGGAGATCATTCTCCCAAAATATTTCCTAATGTCATTTGTACTAAATCATTCACTTGTACCCACTAAATGAGAGCTTGAACCTATGTACTTGTGTAAACCCTTCACAATTAATGAGAACTCCTCTACTTCGTGGACATAGCTAATCTGGGTGAACCACGTACATCTTGTGTTTGCTCTCCTGTCTCTATCCTTTTATACACTTATCCACACTAATGACCGGAGCAATCTAGCGAAGGTCACGAACTTAATATTTTCTGTTGTACCAAAGTTTTCACTGATTTTGTGCATCAACAATCCTTAAGTCCTTACCTTTTTGCATTGGTAATGGATGAGTTAACAGGACATATTCAAGATGTTATTCTTCGGTGTATGCTTTACGCAGACGATATAGGGTTGATAGATGAAACTCAGGAAGGGGTAAATGCGAAGCTTAACCTTTGGAGAGAAGTGTTGGAATCTAAAGGTCTTAGCCTAAGCCGATCAAAGACAGAATATATGTAATACAAGCAGGATGGATGAAGTGGAAGAGTGCATCCGGCGTGTTGTGTGACCGTCGTATGCCACTGAAGCTCAAGGGAAAATTTTATAGGGTCGGCGATGCTATATGGCACAGAATGTTGGGCGGTGAAGCATCAACACGTACACAAGATGGGTGTAGGGGAGATGAGGATGCTTCGTTGGAGGTGTGGGCTCACGAGAAAGGATAAGATTAGGAATGAGTGGGTTGGACATGTGCAAAGAAGACCTACTGACGCTCCAGTTCGAAGATGTGACTACGGGACAGAGGTTTAGGGCCGAAGGGGTAGAGGAAGACCTAAGAAAACTTTGGAAGAGACCCTAAGAAAAGACTTAGAGTACTTGGATCTAACGGAGGACATGACACAAAACCGAGCGCAATGGCGTTCTAGGATTCACATAGCCGACTACACTTAGTGGGAAAAGGCTTTGTTGTTGTTGTTGTTGGCTCTCAGGACTTGGTTACTTGGTGGAATGGCCTTAAAGTTGATGAACCTTGCAAAGAAATATAATATGGCGGTAAGCATTAGTTTTCGTCCTTGAAAAGAATTCTAGACTAGTTTACTCATTTTGAATGCAAGGGAAGAGTCTTACATTTCAATATTTGATTTCACTTTCTGTGATGAAACGGCTTCTTTGAAATATGTCAATATCACTTGACAAGTTTGTTAGGAAGATCTTGGATAGATGACAGATCTACTATCAGCAACCGGAGAATGGTTAAGATTTTCAAATTAGTACGTCTTGTGTTTTTACTTTTGTGTGTACATATAAGAGCTAAAACGTTATTTGGAATTAGTTACTGAGCTACTCATTAGATTGCCACAATACATTTGTGTGTGATATGAATGTGTGATGCTCATCAATGTCATTCACGTTAACTTTGTCATGCATTGAACAGCTTGCGTGATGTGAAATCTGCAACACTCTACAACTGACAATATAAATCTATATAAATACTGTTGTGGCCATGTATCTCATATATTACTATGTTCTTTGGATCGTATTTCTTGTGACCATCCTAATTATTTTCTTCTTAATAAACCTTTGTTATTCTGGTTTTATTTAATTTTTCTTGCAGGCTCCAATATTTTGCCTCGTGTTTTATGTGGCAGGTTGTCATATTCAATCAAGCGACCACTAAGCATGTAGAAGGTTCATTCCATTTAAGTCTTGCACTAGGTAAGTTCCATTCTCGGTTAGTTCCCACCTCCAACTTCAACACTCAGTTTGAATGGTCGATATAGTAGTTTCCGTCATCACTTTGCATGGCTGTTGTTTCATTATACTGTCTAGGTGATAGCTGGTCACATTGTTGCACCAATCGAGTCATATTGCATTGGAATGGTGATGAACGAAATGCGTACCTAGACAAGTCACCTTCTCTCCGATCAGCATCAGCTCCATTTTCCGTGACTAGTGAAGGGATCATGAACTCTGCTTCAAACCATAAGCGAATCAAATTGACGTGAGATTTCAAATTGGACGAGGTTTATTCGTCAGTTTGATTTTTTCCCTTCGTCTTCGAGTAAATGGGCGTTACTTCATTTAGTTCCAGCAGTTATAAGAGATCAGAGAAGGGAAAACGGGAACTATTTCATCTCTTTCTATAGGCATCACTGTTTTTTTGCAAATACATCACTGAGAATAGAACCTGTGAAGTGAGTGGTACCATAACTGCAAATGATTGAAAGAAGAACTCTGTTTGTCGCCCCCCAAATGCGGGAGGTTCTTTGTATACACTCGGTGATAAGGCAGATTTTCTCTCCGAACGCACCGTATAGTTTGCAGTGTCTTGACCATTTGGCGGAAAGTTTACTTTTGTAAATGAATTTCCTTAGTGTGCAGCCCACCATCTTTGAATAACTTAAAATATAGCTTTTTAGTGAATTTTTACTTATACAAGATTGTTAAGAATTTGTCAGGTTTTATACTAAATGAATTGGTGTTTAAAATTTAGAAAACTTATGGTGTCTTAGTGTGATTGTTTTGATGACGTGGGGTATGGTGCATGTATATGCTGTTGAGAATGAATATCACATTGATGGAAACAGTCGAGGAGGGACCTTTTACGTGTTCATAAGTAAATGGAGCTACTCCTCATATTGGCAATTAGTTTTATGATGGAATCTCAATTTTTTTTCATGATATCAGAGCAATTTGTTTCACATGTGAAGTGAAGCCCACACATGCTCCACACTCGACTTGTGTCGTCTACATGTTAGACTTAAAAATTCGTCACACGTATGGGGGTGGGGGTTGAGAATGAATCACACATTGTTGGAAGGAGAGGCCTTCCATGAGTTTATAAGTAAAATGGACTAGTTCTTATATTGTCAAATAGTTTTATGGTGGAACCTCTTTCGTGTGTGACCAAACCTTTTTGTTGAATGTAGTTAGAATTTGGAAAAAGGGATGTATCTCTCCCACAATCTTGGTGTATCTGGTGAAATCATATATTGTGAGTGATGTAGGTCATGGACCAAAGGCATTATTATATTAAATAATTGACAACTAGAACTAAACTAATATAATAAGATACATGCATTTTAGAGCTATAATGCATGTATCTTGCTTTAAATTTGTCACTTACGAGATTTTTAGTATTAACTGAAATCTTTTAGTTTTCTAGGAGTCATTTTTTATGGGTTTATTTCATTTGTCTTTTCATATTTCTCACTTAAATTGTAAGCCTATAAATATTTGTATTTATAGGGGTAGAAGGGGTGTAGAATTTGTTTCAATTATCATATTGAAATTGAGTTGTAAACTCGTTTTTTAAGTGGTTTTCTCTTGTTTAAGAGTGTCACTTTGTTTTTGTAGTTGTCTACGTCGTAGGCTAGTACTAGAAGCAAAGTTTTTAAGGTTTTCAGATTTCTTCTCGTATTAGGAAATAGTGGACCCGACATATCTATTATTTTTATACCAATATTGTTCATTTTATTTTCACTTTTTATTATCCTACCACGTTGTGTGCTATATCATTGAATTCCACTAGTTCTTCGTTATTCAATTTAATGGCTAGAAAAGGGGATGAGTGCATAAGTAGAAAACGAGAGTGTATAAACAACTCCCCTTACAAGTATTGCTTGGATCTGATTCACGCTTTAATTTTGTTATGCATTTTGGTGATTGGTTATCCTTCTATTGTGTTAAGATAAACGTTAAGTCACCCATGCATGCACATGTGAATGGTTGTAACCCATCGACGTAAAGAAGTTTCACAATGCATCAACAACTGGGTAACAAAGCAAACACAAAGACTTAAGATGGGATTTAAACACAAGATCTTTGGTGTTCTTAACTACTTGAGTTACGCTTCTGCTATATTTTTCAAGTAGTAGGAACGAGGCAAATACAAAGACTTAAGAGCGGTGGTGGATGCACGAAGGGGCAAGAGGTGTCACTTGCCCATCTGAATGTCCAAACTCGAAGCTTTGCTTGTAGCATGGAGATTTGTCACAAGGTGTTTGAACTAAAGGTGGGCAAATGGGTAGAGGAACCGCGGCTAGTGTAGGTTTGGGGCAGGTACGGGTCGGGTCCTCTTTTTTATGGGAACAAACGGGGCGGGCCATGGTTATTTACGGGGCGGGCCGGTTCCTAAACCTTAGAAAAACGGGGCCCCGGACCGGCTCGTTTCTAATTATAATCGACGGTCGAGATTGAATGATAACCTATCATTCAATCTGAACCGTTAATTTGTAACCTAGGTTTCCAAAATCCAAATCAGTTTCAGACTTCAATGAATCAGTCTCAGTAACTTTCGAATCTCGATCTCTCCAACACTCCCCAACCCTCTCAGCTCTCTCAAATCCGTGGCGCCACTTCTTCCTCCACCTTTTCCGACACGACTTCGGCCAGCCACAAGCAAGCCACACACACAGACAAGCATAAGCACCCTGCTACTCACTCTCTCACTCCCACGCCTCACCTTTCCAGTTTCCACCGTCACTCCCTCGACGGCTACTGTCTACCATCGGCGTCTAGACTACCATCGGTGTAACCAAGACTTTCTGGGGTGGGAAAGTCGAACCTGCTTAGGTTCACCAGGAACAAGTTTAATTTGGAGTCCAAGTCTACCATCGGTGTCGAGTTCACCACTAAGACTTTGACTGTTGATTCCAAGCTCATCAAGGCTCAGATTTGGGACACTGCTGGCCAAGAAAGGTGATATTTTTTTTCTCCTATTTCATTTTTCCTCTCAGTATTCTCTATATTTTTAGTTTTTCTGATTTGGGTTTGATTATCTAGCTGATTACTTGTAAATATTATATTTCATTTTTCCTCTCAGTATTCTCTATATTTTTAGTTTTTCTGATTTGGGTTTGATTATCTAGCTGATTACTTGTAAATATTATATATATATATATATATATATATATATATATATATATATATATATATAATATCTTGGTTTGAGTTTTGATTGAATTGTATGCGCAGCTCAATAGTTAGTATGGTTATTCTTTCAAGTATTGATATCTGAGGTGAACAGGAAAAACCCCAAAATTCAGTTTTGTCAAAAGGGTTGTCCCTTTTTTTTCGGAAATTTCGTGGGGTCATGGAGTTTTTGTCTGTCTCCCTAATTTTCAAGCACTTATTTTGAAATTTTACCTATAGATTTGCGAAGTTTTGCATACTCATATTGTTGCAGTCCTCTTTTTCTTGAGGAAAGGATAATTTGATACTTGTATATATAATTGGTTGAGGAAGATGTTCTATTATATAGAAGATGTTCTGTTATTGGTTGAGGAAGATGTTCTACTATATAGTATGTCTTATGTGTGTGTAATGTGTATCATTCCAATGTGTAACATATTCTATGTGTAATGTGTATCATAACCAGATATGACGTGGGGGTAGTTTATCCCATACCTAAGCACCACATATATGTGTAGAACTGTAGTTTTTGCTTCTTCTGTGCAGTGCATTTATGTGTTGTGTGCTGAGCTTAGCTGTGTGTGTTTTGATTACTATATGGTGGGAAAACAGTGAACGTGCTTCTTCCTTGTTTTGATTATTAATTGGTGTGTTTCAAAATATCTTTATTTGATTAATGAATATACTTTCATTATTTAATTTTTACAGATTTTTACATAATGTCTCAATCTCAAAGCCAAAGTACCCTTAGTACTAATGTAGCATCATCCACGGCTACATCACCATCACCATGTCCTCCCCAACCACCAACACAAGCACAACCCACATAGTCAAAATCATCAATGCCTCCCCCAAAACCCTCATCCTCCAGAAAAAGAAAAGCACCATTTATTCCAAAGACAAAACAACCAACTATATTAGCTACACTAGAGAGATCTTCTTCTGAGAGATCTTAGGTTTGGGATCATGTCACTAAGTGTACCATCTCGGAAATACAAGAAGTAGAAAAGGATGGAAAGAAAGAGATGGTGGAGGTACAAGTATTGAAGGCTAAGTGTAACCATTGTAAGTCCATTTTTGCATGTGATACTAGTAGGGCTGGAACTAGTACTTACATTAAACATATCAATAAACATTGCAAGTCATATAAACCAACTGATGAGTTGCAAAAGGTTCTAGGCAGTTCTGGACCTTCTGGGGACGTTAATAACATGCTTGTTTCTAAAGGGTGGAGCCAAGAAGAGGCAGTGGAAGGTATTGTTGAGTATATTGTGATCGAAGAGGTAGCTTTTAGTTGTGTGGAGAGTGAGGGGTTTAGGCGGATGATGTGGAAAGTTCAGCCTAAATTGCATGTTCCATCTCGGAGAACTATTGTGATGAATTTATTCACTATGTATGATACCATGTGTTGATGCACAAAATTAGCGAGGACTTTGGTACAATAGAAAGTGTTAAGTTTGTGACCTTCGCTAAATTGCTCCAGTCACTAGTGTGGATAAGTAAGTAAATGGATAGGGACAGGGAAGCAAACACAAGATGTATGTGGTTCACCCAGATTGGCTTTGTCCACGGAATAGAGGAGTTCTTATTAATTGTGAAGGGTTTACACAAGTACATAGGTTCAAGCTCTCATTTAGTGAGTACTAGTGAATGATTTAGTACAAATGACATTCAGAAATATTGTGAGAGAATGATCTCTATTTATAGAAAATAGTGTAGTTTCATTCTGACATTGACACATGTCGTGTTGTGATTGGCTTCTGATGTTGACACGTGTCGCGCTATGATTGGTTTCTGATGTCAACACGTGTCGGGCTGTGATTGGCCTCCTGGTTAGAGGGAAACTCTTCTGGGTCCTTGATGGTATAACGTTGACCGATGCTCAGTAGTTTCGGGATTGGTCAAGTAAGGTACAAACAGTGCTCCCTTAAGTTCCCGAGTGAGGGAAGGTCCTCGATTGGGGACTTGTAAGATCCAAGCCATTAAGTAATCACGAAACTTCTAAGTACCGAAGTGTGGTATCATTTTCACTTGCCTTATCTGTCTCATATGTAGATGTCACATCTTCTCTGGAAGTACTTTTCCTCCATCCAGGGGTGGTATCTTTAACCGATGAAGATGCACAAGGTAATGTATCAATTTCACTTGAAGCTTACTTGTAGTTTCGGGCTTGGTCAAGTGCGATACAAACCCTATAGTAGGAGTCCCCCAAGTCGCCGAGATAGGAGATTTGCCGAATGAGGTAACAGATAGGGTAAGCAATCAAACTTCCAAGCAAGTAACCTGGATCGGAGGTTCGACTTCTGCTTCATGTTGATTGTTCTCCTTCTCCTTGTGTCGTAAACAGCAACAAGGATAAGGAGAAGGAAATAGAGAATTGATGATATGAGATACTTTTGATTTTGAATAAGTAACTTTCCACAAGCTTATTCTTAAATTGGGCTGGAGGGTTTTCTGGTTTCCTCCAGAGTATAAGGCCGACTCAAGAATTTGAGGGTCAAAACAAGTCCATCAAATCTAGAGTACGTTCGACCTTGATGATATGAGATACTTTTGTT